TAAGACACTGTTCCTGCCTTCAGTTAGTCCATAGTCTAGTATGGAAAAAATGGACACAATGGTACCAGAGAGAGCAAAACGAGAGGCTTCCAGGAGCAATAAGGAAGGGGAAGGAAGGGGTGGGGGGAAGGTTTGATGGTTCAGAAAAGGTTCCCGTAAAGGTGGATTTTAGCTCAATGTGGAGGAACGAAGAGCAGTAATGGGTATCAGGTGAAGAAGGCATACGCAGTAGTGGCTGCACAGCAGCCTGGAGGGGCGAAAACGCACCCTGTGCACGAGGACACACACTCGAGGACCAGGGAGCACCGCCTGCCTTCCGGTTAGCAGCGCCTTTAACTGGCACGACCGCCATGGGCGGTTCAAAGACGAAAACTGAGGCCCACAGGAGTTCAGTGGCAGAGCCAGGACTTAAACAATGACGGATTCCAAAACTGTGCTTCCTCCCCTTTTTTATTCTCAGTTTTACTGAGCTATCATTGACACACAGCTCTGTGTAAGGTTAAGGTGTTCAGCATGATGATTTGACACACATATATTACTCAATGATTACCACAATAAGTTTAATTAACACCCATCTCCTCCTGTAGTAACCAAAAAATTTTATTTTCCCTGTGATGAGAACTTTCAGAATCTACTCTCTTAGTGCATTTCAAACAGACCACACAGCACTGTTAACTGTGGTCACCCTCGATGGGCCGAAGGTGGTCAGAAGGTACAAACGTCCAATTAAAACATAAATTAGTACTGGATACGTAATGCACAAAACTGTGCTCTTAATCTTCATGATATTCGGCAACTACACAAACAGTTATGGAGAAAATAACCCCAAAATAAAGATAGACATATAAGCAGAGACCAGCTTACAAAGGATTGTGAATGCTGCACTTCCCAGCATTATGTAAGGACTGCGGACTTTGAAATCTCATCACTCCCCAGAACACAAGGATAACAAGATCAGGTTTGTATTTCGAAAACATTTTGACTGCAACAGCTAGTATAAGAATTGCTTTCTAACATTTAAAATGTTTAACAAATTTTTACCATCTTAGGATTTTCAGGTTTACTGTGTTATTTGAAACTAATATGTAATTGCCAAAAAAGCTTCTATGAATTCAGTAACATTTTCAAATGAATGTTTACATCACTCTGCATCAACCTTTTTCATCTCATGGCACACATAAACTAAATGCTAAAATTCTGCAGCACACCAAAACATACATTCTTGCAGCTCTGACAAAAAAAGAAATAGGTATAATTTTGATTAATTTGAATCTGACAGCTGTTGTTGTGTTGGCTGTTGTCACCTTTCCATCTGACCATCTAAGGGAAAAGAGGTCCATGTCCCTGACTAGTCAGGTGCTGCACGGTGTAAAAATTCTTGCAGCGCAGCAGTTGGAAATGGCTGTTCTACCTACATGTGGAAAGCACCAGCACAAATTCCCTTGATCCCTAGTGGAAGGGATGCAGTTTGGAAAAAGAGGGAAACCTCTTAGGAGGAGTCTGCCTAGAGCAGTGGGGTACAGTTCTTTAGTTTAGCATCAAAGGTAAGCAGAGCTGGTGACCAGCACTTCCCTGAAGGGTAAAACTGGAGGCAGGTGGAGCAAACAGGCCAGCTGGAAGCAACTGGGGAAGGATTCATATTCTGGTGCCAGGCAAGGCAATGAGCTCTGTTGGCATCCCTTCGGTCCTTCCACAAGGTGACAGTGATACTAAAGAATCAAACTCAGAGATAGCAAGTGAGCAGGGAGGTGGTATTTTAACCCCAACCTAGAGTGGTTTGTTAACCCGTTAACTCACAGACTGGAAACGAGTGACCAGCCAGCACAATGAGCCATACACCCACTTTCCAATCTTACTGGTATTTTGAGTGATTGCTCCAAGACATCTTAATGCCCCAAAACAGAGAGATGGAGGAAACTATTAGGTACTGAAAATTAAAAGGCGCTGCAGAAAATGACTAAAATTAGAGGGCCCAGGCTGCATGTTCTCCCACTTCTCCACCCACCTCATGACCTAGAATCAAGCTTCCCCTCGGCCTTTGCCTTCGAACCATTACACTATTTGGGTTTCAACCAGTGTTTAATCATAAACCAGCTCTGCTACATTATTAATATTCCAAGCAGCATTTCTAACCAGGTAATATCCAATATGCTTATGTTGAATTACCTTAAAGGGTGGCATTCCTACATTTGTTCTGAATTGAAAAATTAAACTAACTAGAAGTATATTTACACTTTAAAGTATCTAAGTACAATCTGAAATAGAGTCATAAAATGATAGTAATTGGCAGAATAATAACCACGAGCCCTCACCTCACCCTCTCTCCCCCCACCCAAAATGAAATAAATAAAACTTTAACTTTGAGTGTGGCAATAATACATTAGCTATTTGAAATCAAAGGTGGAGAATGGTGATGGCAAGGACATAATGTCATGGACTCTGGTCATCATTCAAAGTTTTACAAGGTTACTGTAGGTTCTTGACCTTGGGCTATTCAAAGCAGCAGCTGAGAATAAAGGTGGCAGATTGCATTACATATAATATACATATTATATAATATACTATTATAATGCATGTATGTATGTATACACACACATATAAATGACCTTATTATGCTTCAATATATGTAAAGGAATGTAATCAGAAAGGAAAAATGAAGCAAGAATATTAGCAAGCAGGAGAAAGATTTACACTATACTCTTCCTTACTTTCCAAAATACTTTATAAAACACACTTTGAAACCAATATTTTATATCCAAATTAGGGGTTCTTGGAGTTAAAGAGGTTGTGGCAATGAGAGAGTTGTTCATTCTGCTTTTCCTGGCAAAAATAATACTTTAAAGTATGTGCTTTGGTGGTAAAAGCAAAGCTAAGGAGACAAGTAAATTTGGGTGCTAACTGAAAAGAAATAAATAAACCTAAGCGTGAACACACAGCTGTTACTTCCAGAGTATACCAAAGTGTATGTAAATATGTAAGTCCATTTATTCACATGTCTGCGAGGGATGCACTGCCTTGCTCCCTGTGGCACTAGGGAGAAAACACTTAATTTTAGCTTTATTAATTATATTAAAATCATATATCAAAACCTTTAGAAAGATTTGGCTCTCTGCTAATGACACACAGAACACTTCCATTGCTGAAAACCCCTGTAGATGGAGCGGGACGGAGGGGAGGACAGCACATTTACCACGGGCCATCATTACACCTTTTATCGCCATGCACTTCCCCAACTTGATTAGACAGAAACTTCTCACAGAAGTCCAACACCAGGACGAGCAAGCTAAGATGAACAAGGAAGCTTCAGATTTTAACAGTGTGCCTTCTACAAAAGAAAGGGGTGTGAAATCACCCTTATGCACAGATTTTCTGAAGCAAATACAGGACATGCAGATGCAAACTCCACACAGGAGCCACATCCGATCAGAAAAAGTCCCCATGTGTCTGCCCTTCTCCCCGCTTCCATCCCCAGCACTCAAACACAAAAAGAAAGTTTAACTTCTTTTCTAAAATTATGCAGAACAAACACAACTCATGGAAAATTACCTTTGGAAGCCCTGACTTTTCCAAGTTTATGAATGAGGGAAGTTGTTTCTCTTAACTACATTGCTGGAATTTTTCCACTCTCATTTCAATTCAAAATACAGCGTCTGTTCCTCCCCCAGCCTCCCTGCCCTCCCCTCACACCTTCCCGAGTCACCTTCAGACTAGCTCAAGGTTTCAGTTCAAAAAGAAAACAAAAGTTAATTTTTTAGATATTCCCTACTACCTAGCGGGTAATCCTACTCACACTTCACATGCCTTTACTGAGAGTAAAAACTGTAATGTTTTGTTTCTTCAACCTATACACATTTATTTCTTTGAGGACAAATGAATTATTTTTAAACAGTCTGCTTTGGGGTTCTTGAGTATGTTGTTTTTCCATAAAACAATCTTTAAACCTGAATTTAATGTTTAAATGTTTTGATCCATATGTAAATGTGAATTAGTTAAATGTGCATTGCTACATTTGAACTGAATGGGAATAAGCCAACACGTGGCATCAATAACTCCTGAGTGACTGCAAGGCTGGTGCAGGCAACCGCTTTCTAACAAGCAACTGTTCCCGGGTCACGTCTGCTGGGAAGAAGTCTTCAGCATCGGCTTAAAAGTGCGGAGGGTGGGAGGGAGGAGGGGTGTAAGGGAGTAAATGGTAATCGAAAAAATACAGTAAAGAAATTTAAAGTAAATATAAAAAGTCATCTTCTCCATCCAGTGGAATAACGGCCAGAAGTCCTGCTGCTAACTTTCAGCAGATGTTAACCCTAAGATGTCCATGAAGAAGACTCTAAAAGACCCTCTCCCCCTTTTTTTAATGGGAAAGAAGGGGATAGATTTTGTGTCTCAGGCTCAGCTGCGAAGGTAACAGCCTTTCACGAGTGACCCCAGGATATCTTACCTCATCAATGCCGACTCCGAGGTACAAGCCCTGACTTCCACCCCCCGGGGCTCCGGATGCTTCTTCGGAGAAAGTGTCTCTCCGGGAGAGCCACAGGTGTCTAAACTCCCCCTCCCGCCCTCACACACAACACACACTCAACACACTGCCATTGCAGGTATACGTTGGGCATCTCCACTTCCAGCCACCCACAGAAACGCCCCCGAGGCCCCTGGGCCGACTCTGCCCCGCAGAGAGACATCCCGGACCTCCCCGCGCCTTCGCGGGCGGGCCCGCAGGGATGCGCGGTCCTCGAACCCGGGGGATCCAGCGCTCGACTCGGCTCTGGCAGAGGACTCTGGGGACGCTGGCGAGACCGTTGCGGGTGGGGCCGCGCAAAACTTAGCCGGACGTTAAAGGATTGGATAAGCAGAACTTGCAAAGTACACCCAAGTGCACGCGCAACCCAGCCGGCTGCCACGCGCCCGCGAAGGCGCGGTGAAGAGGGTGCAGCGCAGAGTGGCGGGGACGCCCTCACCTAGCGACGCCCTCAAAGCCGTGCATACAGAGTCAAGGCACTCACCTCTACCCATCTTTGGGCTTCGGCGAACGCTACGGCGCAGTCGGCCTCGACCTCCTGCATCTCTTCCAGGACTAGGGAGAGAGACGGTGAGAGAGACACGTCGGGCGCGGGGAGGGGCAGGGGGTCCCACGCGCGTCTCGGCTGCTGCCCGGCCTCTGCTCCGACCGGAGGACGCCCGGGCTCTCGCTCCCTTTGTTGCGCTCTGCGGCTCAGTAGGATCTGAAGACGTGGCTTTCTCCAAACTCTTGAAAACTACCCCAGTTCCGCGGAGACACGTGCGGCGGAGCGGAGCGACCAGCGGCGTTGCGCGGCACCGACAACTGTCCCGACTTCAAAAGTCGCTGCGCTGCCACCGCCCTCTCCGGAACGGCCCCGCCCCCGCCCACCCCGGGCCGCCCAGTGGCCGCTTCCGTCCGCCCCCCTGCGGCTCCCCGCGCTCCCCGGCCGCAGCCGCCTTTGCGGTCAGACTGTCTGGGCCAGGGGATGCCACGGTCCGCCAGAGGCCGGGTCCCGGGCCACGCTCCCGCTCCCGCGCTGCCCACGCGGAGCGCAGCTCCACCCCGAGGGGACGTTTTCCAGCGTCCGCATCCCTCCCGCCTCCGCCCGCCAGGCAGCCCTCCACCTCCCGCGGCCGCTGGAAGAGGCGCCCCCCGCGGCTCCAGGCCGCAGGGCCGCCTGACATACCAGGAATAGCTGCACCCAACTGCACCTTTCCCGGCGAAGAAACTTCTGCAGGGCAACGCGGCCCAGCCCAGCTCTCCGCCCTCACCTGAGGGCCCACTAGCGGCGCCCGGCTCCTGCCCAGCCCGCTGGTGCGGCGTGCGCGCCCCACCCCGAGCTGTCGGACCCTGGCAGTCGCCTGCGCCCTCCTGGCCGCAGGTGGGGGTAGTGGCCTGGGCACAGGCCGCCCCTTTCCCCCAGCCTGGGCCGGCCCTGCTCCGCCCTGCTTCCAGGTTGGTGCGATGAAAAGTACCTGCCCGTCAGCAAAGGGTTCCAGGGGAAGGGAACCGTGCGTTTGTCCCGCCCCTCGCCCACTCCCCTGGACCGCCCCTGCCCTGAGCGTCAAACCCGCACCCGCTCCGGTTCGGGTTCACTCTCCGGCGGGCGGAGGGCACCGTCTGCGCAGCGTCCCGGAGAAGCTGCACAGCGCCGGAGGCGTGAGTTCTGGGGCTGGCTCACTCGGATTCTTTTCACACACAAATCAGACGGAAGGGAACCTGCTCAGCTGTCGCGACTCCCTTGGGACCTCGCTCAGCTGCTACTGAAACCCTATCCAGGCCGCACGTTAACCGCAGCAACTTCGGGGGAATATAAGAATGGATTCTTACTCCTTTAAAGAAAGCAATCCTTTTTCTTTGATTTTCCTGGTTGATTGTTTACTCTTTATGATAAAAAAAGACATCAAATATTTAACAATTGTTTACATTTTACCGTATTCATCACCTTTTCTGCTGGAGTTTTAAAGCTATTGTGATGTTTCACTCCTAAATACTACAATATACGTCTCATTTTTTAAAAATCTTCACCCAACGATTTGTTTTCATTGATATTAGAGAGAGAGATATATCCATCGGTCACTGTCATCTTCAGCAGGCACCCTGTCGGTGATCGGACCCCAACCTGCAACCTAGGTGTGTCTGTGCGGTGACCGAGGATCGAATCTGCGACCCTTCGGGGCACGGGACGGCGCGCCCAGCCAACTGCGCCCCCTGGCCAGAGCTACATTTCATTCTTAAAAGGATACTTTCTGTGTAACCACGTTGCCATTTTCACAGTTAACTAAAGCTAAACATAATTAGCTACTGTCAATTGTTATAAAACAGAAAGTGTGTGTCCATCCGTGCTAGCAGAACCAAATGCTAAACCCCAAGAATCGCAGTGGAGAAATGTTGGCCATTTTGTTATGAACGGCGCTATCCAGGAGAAAGGGAAGCTGGTGCTCAAAGTCCAGACCCCTGGATAGAGGGGTCCGGGCGCACATCGCAGATTTTCAGGGTGAACCCCAACACAGCGTGGGTTAGGGGTTCCAGCCGGCTGGGAGGTGTGCGGTGAGGCGAGGGTAATGAATCATTGCTTCAGGTCTGGGGGACAGTTCTGAGGTCCGTTTCCGGGGTTCCTGTGTCGTAGAAAAAAGTAACCAGGGGGCATCATCCCACCTTAGGAACTGAAACGTAACTTAGGGCAAATGCTTTCTGTGTAGTCTGGCAGAGGACCAGACTCTTCAGTGCCTGGTACACTAGGCAGGTACCAGCAGTAGTACCGGCTACTGTCTTCTGCTGCCTACAGGGCCGCTGATCATCGGGGGAAAGGCTAGGTCTCTGAGGGAGGGGGAGGAGGGGAGAGAGAGAGAGCGATGATTTATTTCTAAGCTTAGGATTTAAAGTAAAATTTAATGAGTCATAAAAACCCTCAGTTTCACAGTTTATACCCAATCTAGACCTACATTCCTCCAACTGACCCCAAAAATGTCTTTCATAGCTGACTAACTCAGACCAGGGGCCAAACAACTGACCACACATTGCATCTTTTCTAAACCTCGACTAGCCTCCCCCTTCCTACTCCCTATTTTGACATTGTCATTGTCTTATAAAAGAAACCAGCGCAGCCTTCTGGGTTTACTTTAGGATGTCTTCGTGGTGTCTTCAACATCCTTCTACTTCCTCTGGATGTCCTGTTACCTGGAAGTTTAGATCTAGACTGGGTTACAACTTACTTACTCTTCTGAATAACGACTTCACCTACCTTCTTCCTGTCTGCAGTGATCTCTTGAGGATGGTCTTTTCTCCTACATTTATTTTTGTTCAACCCTTTTTTCATTAGCACTCTCTGGAATCGATGGGTTTGTTCAGAAGAGCTAGGAATTGTTATTGCAGAAGCAGGAGGCCATTGATTGGACTATCTCTTTGCCTCCTGGCTATGCTATGATCAGACCAAACCCCAAAATGAGGATGAAATAATAAAAGAAACTGGAAAATGTTTTTCTCTTCCTGGCTATTCAAGATCTATTCTGTTATATATTTAGTGAGCACTGTATATAGGTAAAGGACTAGATTTCATAAGTAATACAGAAAATTGTTTTAAAATATAGACACTGAACTTCATGAACTTCCAATCCAGTGGAAAGACAGACATTCCTCAATCTTCATGAGTGTTGTTACTACAGTTTCTCTAGAGGTATGTTACACTATTTAAAGCTGCTTCTCTGTAATTGACTTAGGACAGCAGCCCAGGATGTTAAGAAGTACACAGACTTGGGGATCTGAGTGAGGAAGGTTACCAAGTTATCAAACTCCCTAAGCCTGTTTTCTCATCTGGAAAATGTAGTAAAAAATAACTACGTCAAAGGGTTCTTGTGAGAATTAAATATGATGGAGTGTGTAAAAAGCCCAGGGCATTGCTGGCATGGGGCAGACACTCAGCAAATGGTGGTTATTTCCCTAGTCTTTCTCTCTAATAGCAGAGTGTCAAATATGGATTTTTCCTAATGAATGGACATTCTTCTGTTTGCTCAGATACTCAATGGAAAGAGCTGTAAGGTACTGCAGATTCTGTTTCAGGTCAGCTCAGGCACCAGCCATTTGTCTCTAGGACTGCAAATTTGCAAATCAGAAGATCCAAATCCAATTCTTTGCCTCCTAACATCAGTCATGAGAAAGATGTGTGGAGTTCTGTAGAGAAGGGCAACCTGCCTTGGGAGTTTAAAAGAAAATTCACAGTGAGAAAACATGATGAATGTCATTTATTTTCCGAAAGCATTTGAGGTGTTTTCAATATTTTAAAACAGTACAATTGTCACGTTTTTACCCATTAGTGATGAAATGAGCTGTTGGTGGGAGAAAGTGGTACAGTCTCTCTCCAAAGTAATTTGGCAATAAATACTAAAGTTTTCTAAATGCTCTGCTGCGGCACTTTCACCTCTGGAAATTTACCCTAAGGCCATGAGCAAAGATGTATGTCTGTGGTTGGGCACAGAGATGCAGTACCCAAACCTCCCTTTAGAGGAACCAAGTCAACGAGAGCCTCCATCTGTCAGCACCTTGGAGGTGGGCCTCAGCCCCAGAGCACAGCCTCACAGCACAGCCCCAGAGGCACCCTCCTCTGGTGACTGAGTGGCATGAAGTTATAAAAGCCCAGTCATCTCCACCCAACGCAGGTCAATTGTGAAGGGGCCTTTCCACAGACGCACCTGCTGTTAAAGCAGGCTGCAGGCCGGTATCACAGCTCCTCTTCTCCCTGGCCCATTCCTGCTGCCTCCCTCTTCAATTCACTGGGGGCGATCCCTAATAAATATCTAATACTTCATACGCCACCCCTCCACTTCTGGAGGATTCGCCTATGGTGGCATGAAGTGTGATGTGTTGAAAATAAGAATCCCAAAGCAATCTAAACCTCCAACAATAGGGTTGGGGGAGTAAACTGTGGTTTTTCCATACAGCAAAATATTGTGCAGCCATTAAAAATGTAGGACAATATTCAATGACACAAGGAGATGTTACAAATATATTGCAAAATGAAAAAAAAATGTTTAAAGCATCTTAATTTCTGACTGTATTTTTAAGATGCATAATTTTTCCACACAAAACAAGTTGGGGAAACAACTTCACACAGATTTTTAGTACTGGCTATTTCTGAAAGGAGATTTTGTACTTCCCTTTCTTTAACAAGTTTTTTTTTTGCAAGAGACATGTATATTAATTTTATAAATGAAAAAATTTGTATGACACAAAGACATGGCCAAATTTGATTTTCAGCCTTGTTCTACAAACTTTGACCTCCTCCTGCCTTCCTGGCTTGCTCAATGGCCCCACACCTAAAAGCCGGGGGTCATGTTGGACTTCCTCATCTTTCATTCCCATGTGCACCCTCTTCCTAGTTCTGTCCATTTTTATCTCCTAAATATTTCTCCACCTGGTCCCTCTTTTCCATCCCTATTTCCACCACCTTAGTTCTGGCTCTCGTTAGCTCTCAGCTAGATTTCAAAATTCACAGGACCTTTCTCAGAGGTAAATCTAATTGCACTGCCAACACATCCCCCCAGTCAACTCCTCACTCCAGGACTCCCCATTGCCTTCAGGGGCCTTCTGATGGTTGCCAGCAGCGCCCTCCTCCAACCATGTATCCTGACCCATGTTTCTCCCTTTGTAAGAAATGTGCTTCCCTTCCTTTCTCTACCTGGCTTTCACGTATGGATTCTTCCAGGCTCAATTCAAGCCTCTTCTCAGATCCTTCAAAAAAAAATCTTTGCCAATTGTGCTGGGCTAGGTTAGGTATCTTTCCTTTATGCAGTCACAGCCCCTTTCACGAGGTATTGCCTGTCTCCCTCCTTGCACGGTGAGCACCCAGTTCAGTGCCTGACACCTGCCTGGTGTCTGACAAGTGTTTATTGACTGGAGTGTGTGTGTATGTGTGAACTTACAACTCTTCTTTTAAAATATTTTATTTACTTATTTTTAGACAGGGGAAGGGAGGGAAAAAGAGAGAGAGAGAATCAATGTGTGGTTGCCTCTTACATGGCCCCCACTGGGGACCCGGCCACAACCCGGGCATGTGCCCCGACTGGGAATCGAACCTGCGATGCCTTGGTTCACAGCCCGCACTCCATCCACTGAGCTACACCAGCCAGGCCTGAACTTACAACTCTTAATGCACAGAAGTAAGTATCAACTATTGATAGCACCAGAGTGGGAAATACCACTGATTACTGCAGCTAATATGAGATTTTTTTTTAAAACAGGGTTTCT